GGAGGCTCCGGGTCGGCGGCCCAGGGTGGGGGCTCTGTCATACCGGCCCTCTGCGGCCCATCGTGGGGGCAGAGCCTCTGCCCCTGCTGCTGATGGGTTTGTCGGCAGTGTTAAACGTTAAATTTGAACCAGAAAAAAAAAAATTGAGGCTTTCTTCCCCCCACCTCCCCGTGGTGGGTGCTCGACTAAACGTTGTCTTAGTGCGGGGGGAGATGGGGAAGCAGGAGCTCTGACACCGCCTGTGTTTACACTCCTCCCGTACCGGAGCAGCCCCGCTGTAACCGAGCGGCTTGGCCATCCTGATTTATTAGCCGGGCTGAACTAATTGGCAGCAGCAGGCTGGAGGCATGCTGGAGTAATTTGGTAGATTACCTCCTCATAAAAGATAACGCTGCGTGGAGGTAAGTAAACCGGGAAATTCCTGCACTTAATTTGACAAATACGCGGTCTGCTGCAAATTAGCAGCAGAAATCTGTAGCTGCGTGGTGTCCGGGGCAGCGTCTGCACGGCCCGGCGGTGCGTGGGGAGACCGAGGTAGGCCTTTTCTTCTCGCTTAGGATGAATAAATACAAGCAGGTCTTTCTGCTTTTAGCAGAAATGCGTTATAAGCAGTGTTTAAGCGTCGTAGCTGAAATCTGGTGGAAGCGTGGGCTCTGTTGGTGCCCGGTAAAAGGACCTGGCTTCAAAGCGGTCGCCTGAAAATTTCCACGCGGAGTTAGTGAACACAAGTGTCAGTATTTTAGGTGTCTGCGAAATAAGAAACATATGTCTCTGTGTATGCTTTTCTATATTAAACAATGTTTTTATAGTAAGTGAAAGTTGGACAAGGGCAGTTTGAACCTCGGCCAGAGCTACCTTGCCAGAAGTATGCCTGGAATGTTAAGCAGGCCACAGAAACATTTAAGCACAGTCTGGGTTAAAGACTAGTAATTTGAGAGATTCCTGTCGTTTTGCACGACAATGCTTAATTATTTAAATGGCCTAAATATTTACCTACCGGATCAAGATGCTTTGTCTCATTATGTGGACATAGTTGTGCATGTACATATTTTTTTCCTGAGATGTTAAATATTTGTTAATATGTGTTGGATCGCACATTTTTTCTACATCAAAATGCATGTACACGTATTTAGGTTACTTCTAATACCGTGTTGTAAAGATAATGGATGTCTGTTGCTTCTCTGCATTGCATCTTTTCCATTAAACTTCAGAGAGTATGTGTTTTTGCCTTCTGCAGTATCTTCTATACAGACAATAGCAGAAAAGATTTAGCCATTTACTACAGTGTTAAAATTGAGTTACTGTTCAACTTATGTGGTATTGCTAATATTATGACTCCATGTTTGGAAAAAATAATTGAAATGCCACACATTGCTTGAAATTTTGTCTAAATATTTCACTCCAAGATTTAAACTTAGATCTATTTTTCACACTGGGTAAGAACAGGCTATAGAGCAGAGATGGAGGCATTTGCATTAGGTCAGGTAGAAAAGAGATGATGTTTTCATGAGCATGTTATCAGTAGTTTGTACAGAATTCAAGTAGCAGGAGCTAGTTCTATGACTGCAGAGTTAATCTCTGGTTGAGAATAGACTACTGTTATTTTAGTGTGATGTCTGGGTTTGCATGGCAGAAAGTGACCGGTCTTTTTGGGTTTCATTGCAGCTATTCAGATTCCCATGGGCAGCATCAAAGTAGGAAAGGATCAAGGTAGTTGTTTTCTGAGGAAGTTTGGGAAAGAAAGGTAAGAGCAGCAGTGAAGTGGTATTGAAGCTGTACTTTTGCAAAAAGTGGTTTAAGTGGAAGGTAGAATAACGTGCTTGTATTAGATGTACCTCAGCATTATGAGTTAGGCATAGAGTGATGGAGTTCAGCCCCCCATTTCTGTGTTTGGGTGGTTTTATTTTTACCCAGAAGGAATAGGACAAAGCTATGAGACATCAGGCCATGCTGCACTTGATCAAGGGCTCTGAGAATCAGCACTTCCAAGCGTTCCTATGGCTAGTAGTCCTGAAGCATCCCTACAGGCTTCTCTGTACATTTAGCTGGCACTCAGTAGTTTGTTTTTTGTTTTCTTTTCAGGACTCCCCCTGAGATTTCTGAGCCTTTTGTACAGTTTGGTTAGTGAATTTGATTTGAAATAATTATTCAATTAAAAATTCCACCACAAAGCAAATTTCCTTCCCCTCCCCCCAGGTTTTTCCCATTGAAGCCAAAAAGACAAAGAAATGCTAATTGTAGAAGTGCTTTATAAAGGAGTTTGGAGTTCAGTAAAGAGAAGACGATGAGGGTAAGGGAGGCAAGTCAGAATAATAAAGACTGAATGTAAAAAGGACTCAGAAGTGAATTCCTTATGATTTTCTGTGGTAAGAAAAAAAAGGAGAGTGCTAAAAGGAGCAGATTTGAGAAGGATGTTATCTTTAGTATCAAGTCGGTGGTTAGGTTCAGGAAAGATACTGTGTTGCTCTGCGTGGATTTCATATAATGAGTAGATTGCAGATGGTTGTTTAGCAGATCCTGTAGATCTCAGAAGGGAGCCGTTCAGTGCATAAGTTTTCATCTCCTGGTAGTAGTCATCTTTTATCTTAATAGAGTGCAAATTCTTCAAGGCAGGGAACTGCCTTTTTATCTTGTGTTTGCACAGTACTTGCTATATTGAGATTCTGTTTAGTAACGGGCTTGCGAGTGAATTTATAAAAGACTGTGTTTATGGTTGATATTGATGATCCTTGTAGCATCAGAGATGTTATTACTGTTGCTGTTTGTTACAAGACTGTTTTGAAGCGATTAGTTCTTAACCAAAATTCTTGGAGTTTAGTGAAAGCTTTCCAAGCTCATGTGTCTTGCTAGATTTGCTGTATGTGGAAATTTCACCTAAAATACAGTGTTGGTTTTTTTGAATAACTAGGGAAGAGGGAGTCTTTCAGCTTCTTATTGTGAGTAATCCTGGTGGTTTAAAGATTTGAATCATGTTCTTTTGGAGTGAGGACTTTATACTTATAAGGTGTAGGAGTGGTTTTGCATGGAAAAACCACCCATTTGGACCAGTTGGGGAGGAATTAAAAAATCAGGATGGGCTTGGTAAAGACTTAGATTTTAGTAGCTGTGTGTAACTTCCTGCAACATGGGCTGCTGGTACTGGGGAGTTTTTCTGTCCTATGTCCTCATTACCATCCTAACTCTGAGGCCTGATAGCTGAGTAATGTGAGCACAGGAGGAAGTACCTGTCCTTGTAGAAGAGGTGGGTTGGAACAAGGAGTATGGGATCAAATGAGGTTGGCCATGGAATTTGACAGAGAAGGGGGAAATTTTGGTAGGTTTTGAAAACAAAGCAATCAGGACCTAGTGGAAGGGAGAAGGTGGATAGCACCTGAAGTCTGGGAAGAAAAAAGTAGGGGAACTGGACTGAAAACCAGTAGAGCAGGGAGAAGCAGGTAAGGAGAAACTGGTCTGGTGAGGGTTCAGGGAGTGAAGGTGTCAGCTCTTTTCTTGGCTGTTCTTAGGGAACCCTAAGGGAAAAAAAGGAACACTGGGTTTGGATGAGGAATCTTCCAAAAATATCAGAGAAAATATCAGGAGAGGCGGCAGCACGCGAAGTCTAGGTGAAGAAGGGAAGATGACTGGAAGGTGAAATATAAGAACTGTGGGTGAGATGTGAGTATGGGGGTCAAGAAATGTAAGATGTGCTGGACAAGGAGATTGTTGAAAATTGTTGAATTGTAGAGACTGGAAATAAGCAGGAAAGGCTGATGGGTTTAAAACAAGGAGTCAGATTGGCAGAGTCACAAGGGTTTAGGAGTGCAGAGTAGAAATATTTAAGTGAGTACTGGGCAGGAAAGTCCAGAAGTGCGGACTACTTTTTGCTGAACTATTTCAGGACTCCTTATTCTCAATTTATTTGATTTTAGCAAGTGTCTGTATTACCCAATTAGTTGACTTTTCCTGTTGGGTGATACAAAGTCTGCTGCTACCGTTGTTTCCTCTGTTCCTCTGGCACAGCAAGGTGTTTAAACACGGAGTGGTGTGATGCAGCACAATGTGATTTCTCTTTCCCTAGACTGGCTTTATAAAGGAATAAGAAATTGTAAGAAACCTAAATAAAAAGCATATTCATGCCAGATATTCAAATCTAGAAAACCCCAGACTTAAAGTCCCTTAGCTATTGCTTGTTTTGTATTAAAAGAGCATTTTTAGTGACAAATTATTTTCTCGTAAATTTTCTTGCCACTTAGCTATGATGAGAATTGCTTCTGAAGTTTTTTGCCCAAATTGGAAGAGGGGCCTTTAGTGAGGCAAAGGATCTTTTGGCATGCCACCACGTGATAAGGTTAGAAAGCCAGTGGCCTCTTTGTCAAGGCAACAGAATATTTCCTAGAGTATTGGAATTAATCTGTACAGTTGGGAGTATTCAGCAATCCAAAGACAATCATAAGAAACATTAAGTTTTTTTCAAAATTTACATATTTCTGGGTCTGCCTTAAACCTCTACACTGAGAGTTGCAATTAGTGACTTTTATTATTAGAATTCAAATTCTTCTGTTCTGAAACATGAGAAAGATGAAGGCAACAGTATAATTAGTACCAGTGCCATTTTTGAACATCGTCTTCAGGTTTGAATATGCTTTCAGACTTTTCTTGTCTACTTCCTGTTGTATTTTGATGTTCAACTGTGTCAACTCATAGTTTATTTTGAGCTAATGCCGTTTGTGGAATGGGAAGAAAACGAAGTGATTATTGATCGTTACTTTGGTCTTCCCTCAGAAAGTATTTTAATGACTGGACAAATTTAAATGATATACTGTATTTGACTGTGATGCAGGTTATTAATACAAAACATAAAATTAAACATGTAAGGTATAGACATATATTTTGAGAAGTGATTCCTTGCAAGTGTTTAAAGTGGAGCAGAACTATTGAAATACTAACTTGGTTATGATTTTATAAATCAACTTTCTAGGCTGTTGTTACCAAGCTCACAAGAGATGAAGAAGCTTGGAAAGGAAAAAAAGAGAATTGTTGAATGAGTATAGATCTGGAAAGTATGCTATCCATACTTATCCAAGTATGAGAGGAGGAGTTGAATTTGTTCATTTGAAGAGGTGTTTAAGAAGTGATTTGAGTACTGCTCATAAAAAGAGATGATACCAGACACTTCAGAACTCTTCTTTGGTAGATTTGTAATAACATCTGATAGTCAGAAGTTAAAACCAGAAATTATGCTATGTTTTTAATAGTAGTAGGTATTAGATGTCAGAGTAGTTTTTCCACTCCTTTACTCTTTAGATGGAATTACCTAATTTTTTGCCCAATTTATCAGCTATCAACAGTGACATCTCATTGTTTATGACCATCAATTTTTACTGCCTCCATTGCATGATATATCATTTGACCTGTCTATAAAATATATCTAGCTAAGTATAACTCATAAGGATTGGGCAATCGTCCTTTCATTAGAAAGTGGAGAGCTGCTCTATTTGGTTGTTTCTCTTTATGCACCCAGGAAGAAATCCTATTTATTTCCATTACTTCAGGCATCTTCCATTCCATTACTAGGTCACTGTAGTTGCACCATTTGATTACCTCAAGTTGGCAATATAGTGGACTTGATAGAATTTATATAAAAAGCATTGCATATAAAACAGTACTTGGGATCCAGATGTTTTGAATTTTCTTTGTAAATGTCAAGTCTGGATGCAGCCACAACGTGGATGGAAAAGCTATGCAGACTGCTTGCCTGGTATGTGACTGAGAATACATGCTGCAGGAAATGGTGTTGAGAAAATGCTGCTGTGCCCTGAGCCTCTCTGGGCAATCTGCACATATTTGTACTTTAGCTCTTGATCAGAATTCAGTAATTATGTAATATTCAATGTAATTCAGTAATATTTTTAAGGGCATGCTGTAGCTGACATTAGTTTTGAAATCTTCACAAATACATATTTGTACCATGATAGGTCTACTTCTCTGCCTTTCATGAGGGAGATATACTCATATTTTTTTTTCATCCTGTCTGGTAGACCTTCAAATGGATATTTAACTTCATATTGTTCATGAATCCCATAAAAATGTTTATGATTAAGAATGAATGAAGATACCAGCATCCTAGGATTAGTGTTACTGGGTATTAGGTATGTTCTTCAAGCTGAGTCTTTTGTTTGGTTGGTGGATTCTGATTAAGTGTTAATATGTTACAATGTTAATCAGCTGATTCATGATAAATACTTCTAAATTACTGCTATTCCCCCTCTTCTCCCTTGATCTCACCTCTCTGATTTAAGTGTTTTTAAAAAGTAGCTTGATTTCTTTTCAGATTTATATTGCAGCTGGAAATGCAGTGCCTGTTTGAAGTGAGCGTTCTTGTTTTCTTGCAATTTAGCATTGTTATAAATGAGCGCTACATCTCCAGTCACTAAGTAAATGTTTTTACTAGTTTTTCAGTGTCTTGAAAAGTAGAGGTAGAAGGCATCCACTGATTCTTCCTAAGATGAAAGGTTTTCCTTATAGTAAAATAATAGCGATTTATGGTTTATTTAATTGGTACTTACTAGTTAGAATACATATATTTTGAAAATCTGGCTTAGGTAGCATAAAATTTCAAGACCTAATGCATGTGTGCTAAAGCATCAAAGCATCTATTGAGCCACAAAAACCTCATTAACAAAAAAGCCACCACTGTTAAGCTTCTTGACATTTTGTTCAAGGTGAAGGGTTTTTTTGTGTGTGTGTGTAGTTTTTACCTCTTAA